TTATATAGCTGGTCTTGGGCTCCCTAAAGGAGGGGAAATGACCTTGAACTCCAGATGTGCCCCCCAGCTTCAGCCTCCCAGTTGCTGGAATTACAGGCATGAGCTATCATGCCCAGCTCTAGCAAATGATTTTTGGATTTGATATGGGAAAATGACTTCTTAAAGTGCAAAAACAATAAGTTTTTCTTTCTTTAGAATGTAAACTTTCACATTTAGGTGTTTCTTCAGATGTTATATAATGGGTGACTGTAAAGAGAGTTTGACTTCCTTATTACAGTTATGTCTCAAAGCTTACCTCGTCTTAACCCCTTGGTTTCGTGCTTGCCTTTGACTTAAGATATGATTTAGGTGTCTTCAGTGAGGTTATCTGTAACCTCGATCTAGATATCCGGTTCAAGTTCATGTTTCTTTGTGGGTGAAAGGTAATAGTCCTGCCCAGGAGGGAAGGCCAACACGAGCCAAGGCTGGTTTCAGTCTCTGGAAGTTTAAGACCAAGAGCCACTCAAGGGCTCCAGGTCAGGTACATGCCAGATCTCTGACACGAACGGCCCATTTGTTCCTCACATGGAAACTGCACCACAAACAACCCCGATGAGGGACAGGTTTAATGAGTTGCCCAAATCACCCACTCGGCTCGTGAACCTGGTAGAACTTCAAGGCAAACTCAGATTGTCTAGCTCTGAAACCTGTGCTCTTTTTGGGACATGGAAAAAGAAAAATCATTCAAGGTCATGCTCAGCTACATAGCAAGTTCCAGGCCAGCCTGGACTACATGAGACTCTGTCTCAGCAAAAAAATAAAATAAAATACTAAAGCAGGGCTAGCAAGGTGGGCCAGGGATGTCCTTGTCCCACATGCTTGCTGTCCTGAACTCATGGAAAGGTAGAAGCAGAGAACTGACTCCATAAGGTTGTGCTGTGACCCCCACACCCCATGTCAAAAAACCACATGGCTTGCTGGCCAACCAGTCCATCTGAATCGGCAAGCTCCAGGTTCAGTGAAGAGATCTGCCTCGAGAAAGAAAAAATGTAACGTGATTAAGAAAGACACTCAAAGTTAACTTCTACACACACACAAAGTGTGCACTTGCGTCCACACATGCACATATGGAACACACACACACACACACACACACACACACACACACACGCACACACACACTCACAAACCCTCCCTAAATGGTGTGAGACCTGTGTTCCTCACTGGAGGGCGTCTCTTATTTTCTGAGAGTTACTTAAGGTCAAAGCATCTCAGTAAAGGCCCAGCTTGTTTGTTTTTATAAGCAGTGATGTCTCTTTTAGCAGACCGTGGAGCTGGCAAGCTTTCCAATGAGCAGATGGTGCCATCTGCCCATTGCAGCGCTAAGATAGATATCTGGGGCCGGCCGGGCATGCCACTTAACAGGTGCTCCATTATTCAAATAGATGCGTGTGACTGATGCCATCATGTGACCCGCTAGCTGTACTTCTTCCGTTTTCATTTTTTATTTGGTTTTCTTTTTTGGCTGCTAGAGACAAGGTCTTGCCCTGGAGCCCAGGCTGGCCCTGGGTTCAACTCATTCAGCTTTTGTTGTTGTTGTTGTTGTTGATAAATTTATGTATTTATCTTGCATCTTTTTTTTTTTTAAAGATTTAACTATTTATTATAAGCGCCAGATCTCATTACAGATGGTTGAGAGCCACCATGTGGTTGCTGGGAGTTGAACTCAGGACCTCTGGAAGAACAATCAGTGCTCTTAACCACTGAGCCATCTCTCCAGCCCCTTATTTTGCATCTTGACCGCAGTTTCTCCTCCCATCCCATCCCTTCCTCTCCTCCCCCCCCCCCCAATCTACTCCTCCTCTGTTTCTGTTCAGAAAGCAGCAGGCCTCCCATGGGTATCAGCAAAGCATGCCGTATCAAAGCTGGAGTCACAAGCATTATATCTAGAACTAGACTCCCAAAAGAAACTTAGGAAACCCAGTTAAACATTTAATGAGAAAGAAAGAAATATCTTTCAAGGCAAAATAGTGTCTTAGCAACGACACAGGTGGTAGGAAATGGACCATTTATTTAAAAGTAGGCCATCCTGTGGTGTAGCTTGGTCTCTTTGTGGGGCCTCCAGCAGTGGGACCAGGATCTGTCCCTGGTGCATGAGCTGGCTTTTTGGAACCTATTTCCTATGGTGGGATGCCTCACTCAGCCTTGATGCAGGGGGAGGAGCCTGGTCCCACCTCAACTTGATATGCCATGCTTTGTTGACTTTCATGGGAGGCCTGTCCCTTCCTGAGGAGTGGATGGGGCAGGGTAGAAAGAAGGTGGGGGAAGGGAACAGGAGGAGAGGAAGTAGAGGAAACTGGTTGGTATGTAAAATAAATTAAAAAAAAATTGATTAAAAGAAAAGGTAGGCTATCTCTATATCCCATCTCCTTCCTCCAACCCCTTCACCCCAGCTAGACTGGAACTTACTATTTAGACCAGGTTGACCTCAAACTTGCTAAAATTCTGCAACTTCTGCCTCCAAGTGTGGGGACTGCAGACATATGCCATCATATCTGGCTACAAGCTGACTTTAGGTATTTTCATTAGTTTGAAACTTTCTCAGGGCCAGGAATCGAACCAGAGCCCTACACATGCTAGGCACCTATTCTACCTCTGAACCATACTGAAAATACTTCTGATGGACTGCTCCATGACTTCCCTGGGGAGATGGAAGAGAAATGTCTGCTTGCCTCAAACAGATAGGGAGTGCAGAAACCTAAGAAAGAACTTATCAAGCCTACCTTGGAGAGATAAATGAACTTGTTGGGGTTACGGGAGTCCAAGTGACCCACAAACCACTCCACCACCAAAAGGTCCCATCCCCACTGAATGTCTACCTCCTACATTCTTTAATATTTTTAAAGTTACATCT